AGTTTTTCGTCGTTTGTCTATCAAACGCACGCGAAGCTCTGCGCCGACAAATATTAACGACCGTGGCGGCTGACACTAAATATGCCTACTGTAAGCCGGCTAAGTTTTTAATTATGTTTAGTTTTTAAATTTTCAACGATTTTAAATAAAAACGGATCCGAGAGATAAAAAAAGTGGGATTTTGGAAGCATATACATCGAAACGTTGAGTAAAGTTTTACAACCGGCCAAATTTCAAGCCGTATTAAGCTGAAAAAAATTTCGGCGGCGGAGGCAGCTTAGAAATTTTGTTCGGCGGCTAGGCTTAATAAGCTTTAAGTCGAATCGACGCGGGTTCTCTGAACGCACGCGCTTCTTTTTTTGCATCAAATTCCGCTACATAGACAAGAGCCAACAATGATTAACGAACGTCATCGGCTGTCACTACAAATTTCGGCGGCGATTTAAAAATCGTTATTAAGCCAGTTTTTAAATTTTCAAACGATTTCAAATAAAAACGGAATCCGAGAGAATAAAAAGTTTAATTTTGAGGGCAAATATTAAAAAAAATCGGAAATGTCTGCAAGAGTAGAAAATTTTTGTATTCGTGAATACTATTTTATTTTTTTCTCTCGTTATACAACTCTTTTTCACGAGATTTACTATTTTTACTACATATTTTTATTACAAATTCTCAAAATTGTATATGTATATTAGTTTGTCATTCCGCTTGGAGTTACTATGAAGTAATTTTCCGATCCTATAAAGTACATATATTTATTCTGGTTCCTTTTAAATATCGCAGCCGGTTAAGACATGTTTGTCTGTCTGGCTGTTGAAATAAATTTTCGGGATCAAAAATTTCAATAATTTTGTCAGACATACTTTCGAGAAGTTTTCTCTTTAAATCCAACAAAATCGGTTAATAAGTAACGAAGATATGAGAAAAAAAACTTATACTATCTCTGAAAATTTAATTAAAAATTTCATTTTTTGGTGAACGTTTAGACAAAAATAATTAACAACAACACATGGCATAATATGATAACATGTAAACAATAACAACATTTGACAGAAAGTGCACTCTACACAAAAATAAAAAAATTAATCAGTTATATTGCAGTCACCTTTTTTATTTTACAAAGGTATAAATAAAGAAAATACGGTAACAGTGTAATAGAAATCGCTAGAATATTCTCTGTGCAGCTACATTGGCCTAAAATCGCTTATTGTTAAAAAAGCAGCCAATTAACATCACTTTTTCCTTTTATGATAAACAGCTGGCGATGACGTTTTACTATTTTTTACACTGCAGTAAATTATTTATACCGCTTTAATAATATCATGTATTTACAAAATAATTTAAATATAATAAAATAAACGAATACTAGCCACTTATGTTAATAATTATTACATAAATGTGTAAAAATCTCAACCAAAATAAATCATTTTGACAGCTATACATAGCAACAAAAACGAATACGTAAAAGACTAAAGACAAAATTTGGACAGGTGAAAATAAACAAAAAACAACAACAATTACAGCTACAAAAAAGAAAACAATTTAAGGCAATTGGTGGATAAAATGGGTTTCATGTATATTTTAAGTTGGATAGCGTTAATATTACAAATTATATTTGTAACCATATCAATAGGTAAGTTGTAATGTTAAAAATATGAAACAGGCTTCTAATTGGATTAAACTTTTGTATATTTTAGCGGCCGGTTTATATTATATTGCAGAATTGGTAGAGGAATATACCAGTGCGGCACGCAAGGTTATCATGATGATGATTAGTTTCACCATGTTTGTTTATACTATGTTTATATTCTGTGATGATTTACCCTGGAGCATGGTGGCCATGGGTTTTGTTACACAATTCCTTCATTTAGCCATAATGAGTAATTTTCCTTTTATTAAATTCCTATCGTTATCCTTTATTGGTACAGTGGTGTGTTTAATAGCAAATCATTTGTTGGCCTTTCAACATTTTACCTCAGTATATTATCCATTTACTCAGGTTTGTTTAAAACGTGAAACAATTTTATGAATTTATTAATTCCATTCTTTTACTTAACAGATTTTAGCTTATTTTACCATTTGCTTGTGGATGGTACCATTCGCTCTCTTTGTTTCCTTAAGCGCTAATGATAATGTTCTGCCCACCACTATTAGTGATAGTGATCATCATATGGGTCAAGATGTTGTTAGTAATTATTTTTCACGCGGCAAGAAACAGGGTCTTTTATCACTATTCAATTATGTTAAGGACTCTATAATGCCGGGACGAAATAAAAAATCGTTTTGAATTCTCGTTTATTTGAAATATTTTTTTGGATGTTGACGCTAAACATCAGCTCAGAGTGTGAAAATTATGTAGTGTTATAAGTAATGAAGTTTTCTTAATAAAAAAAAAAGACTTTTGTATAAAATTTTCATATAGATTAAGGACATTATTTTTCTCATTCATGGCAAATAGTTGAACATTTAAAATATAAGCAATATTTATTGAAATTTAAAATTTGTTCACGAATTTTTAGTTGGGGAAAAAATGTCGTGTTTGAATTGAAACATTTGGTACGAAATAATCTAAGCATACAAATCGTACAGTCGAGTGTCACTAAGGAGGATATGTGTAATTTTGATTTACACATTATTAATAACTAATAAATTTTTAAACCTGAGATTAGAGTTTTCTTATCTAAATGTCTAGAATACGCCGAATACCATCTATCTGTCTAATTATTTAAAAGAATATTACATTGTTCTTAAACCAACTTAGTCGGTTATTGCATATAACTACAGATAATAAAATCATTGTTTTTAATTAACACTTATCTTAATTAAATATCAAAATTAGCGGCTGAAAATCAAATAAACCACATTTTTTTAATGTTTACAAAAAATATTTTATTTTTTCGAGTTTTTTTTTAACAAATGCAACATTAGTACTTTTAAAAAGATTCTTTACAAACAAACCCCAAAACGGCAAGTCATTCTAACAAAACAAATGAACTTTTAACTTAACTTAAAAAACTACTTTTCCTGAGTCTTAACTTCACCATTGGCCATACCAAAGTAAGCTTTGGTAGCCATATTAACAAATAAACCAGTCTCCACAACACCAGGAATCAGCAATAAATCCTTATTGACTTCCGACCAATTGAACTCTTGTTCTTGAGGGAAATGCCAGTCCAAAATGAAATTACCATTATCGGTGACACAGGGACCGGCCTTAGCAACAGCCATGCGTAATTCAACTCACCACCGAACATTTTCTGTACCTTTTCTCTGATGGGCACATAAGCCATAGGCACCACCTCAATGGGTACACCCTTTTTGTATTGTTCTCCCAATTTCTGAGAGTTTTTAGTGTAATCGGCAATAATAATAAGTTTTTCAGCACAGGAAGCTAACAATTTTCTCTTGCAGCAAACAGCCACCGCCGCCTTTAATCAAAACCATATCTTTGTCCACCTCATCGGCACCATCAATAGCTACATCCAAGAGAGGATTACGATCTAAGTCGCCCAATGTCAAATTGTTTTCAACAATAAGTTGGCGGGCTTGGAAGCTGGTGGGTACACACACTACTTGTAGACCTTCATTTTTAACACGTTCTGCTAGACGATCGACAGCAAATACTACAGTAGAACCACTACCAATGCCTACGGCTGTGTTGGTCTTGACCCATTCATCTACAGCTTGATAAGCAGCAATACGCTTGGCTTCGTTTAGTGACATGTTTGTAGAGCTAGTGGTGGTGATAGATTGTCTTGTTGGGAATTCACGTGTTTTTTGTAGTGCGCCGAGCGTCAAACGTTTGTTTATGCAGACCGAGAAGTGTTTACTAAAAACGCGTAACGACATGTGTTTTTAATTGAAAACTTTTTGTTAATTTTTTTCAAGTTTGCTAATTTTATACAAGAACAAAACAAAAGTAACCGGTCTTATCACGCAACAGTGTTGGCATAGTACTTTTATAACAAAATGGTACTTTTTGTAGATTTCAAAATCTAATCAAAATTAGTATATCATAAGTTTTTTTGGAAATGTCTTTCTAACTAACATAGAAATTCTAAGAAAAACTTTAATGCTTTATGTTCACCTAAGTAAAAACGAGTTTTTTTGTTTACAATTCATAAAAAATAAAGTACCAAACAGATTTTATAACATCTTATCACTTGGTACGCATAAAAAAAAACTTATGTGATAAGGCAGTTAGTTGTAAATAATGCAGTATATAATAGCTAAAACAGTGCTTCGACAATAAAGCAGTTTCCACCGAGAGTTGCCCTCCGGTTAAATGAATTGAATGACTGTTAAATTTGAAAAATCTTAATGGAAGTTAAAACTAACAAAACGCTGAAATATTACGATACACAATAAGCTTTTCTGAATTTATCTGTCTATAGACTAGACAACTAGATTAGAGACTAACTATAGACAACTATTGACTGTAGAGCTAAACTATATGACTAGACTAGAGACTAGACTAGACTAGGACTATAGGACTAGACTATAGGGGAACTATAGACTATGACTGACATAGCTAGACTATAGACTAGACTATAGACTAGACTATAGACTAGACTATAGACTAGACTATAGACTAGACTATAGACTAGACTATAGACTAGACTATAGACTAGACTATAGACTAGACTATAGACTAGACTATAGACTAGACTATAGACTAGACTATAGACTAGACTATAGACTAGACTATAGACTAGACTATAGACTAGACTATAGACTAGACTATAGACTAGACTATAGACTAGACTATAGACTAGACTAGACTATAGACTGGACTATAGACTAGACTATAGACTAGGCTATAGACTAGACTATAGACTAGACTATACTAGACTATAGACTAGACTATAGACTAGACTATAGACTAGACTATAGACTAGACTATAGACTAGACTATAGACTAGACTATAGACTAGACTATAGACTAGACTATAGACTAGACTATAGACTAGACTATAGACTAGACTATAGACTAGACTATAGACTAGACTATAGACTAGAGACTAGGCTATAGACTAGAGACTAGACTATAGACTAGACTATAGACTAGACTATAGACTAGACTATAGACTAGACTATAGACTAGACTATAGACTAGACTATAGACTAGACTATAGACTAGACTAGACTATAGACTAGACTAGACTATAGACTAGACTAGACTATAGACTAGACTATAGACTAGACTATAGACTATAGACTAGACTATAGACTAGACTAGACTATAGACTAGACTATAGACTAGACTAAGACTAGACTATAGACTAGACTATAGACTAGACTATAGACTAGACTATAGACTAGACTATACTAGACTATAGACTAGACTATAGACTAGACTATAGACTAGACTATAGACTAGACTATAGACTAGACTATAGACTAGACTATAGACTAGACTATAGACTAGACTATAGACTAGACTATAGACTAGACTATAGACTACACTATAGACTAGACTATAGACTAGACTATAGACTAGACTATAGACTAGACTATAGACTAGACTATAGACTAGACTATAGACTAGCTATAGACTAGACTATAGACTAGACTATAGCTAACTTAGACTATAGACTATAGAAGACTAGACTATAGACTAGACTATAGACTAGACTATAGACTAGACTATAGACTAGAGGCTATAGACTAGACTATAGACTAGACTATAGACTAGACTATACTGACTATAGACTAGACTATAGACTAGACTATAACAATAGACTATAGACTAGACTATAGACTAGACTATAGACTAGACTATAGACTAGACTATAGACTAGACTATAGACTAGACTATAGACTAGACTATAGACTAGACTATAGACTAGACTATAGACTAGACTATAGACTAGACTATAGACTAGACTATAGACTAGACTATAGACTAGACTATAGACTAGACTAAGAGACTAGACTATAGACTAGACTATAGACTAGACTATAGACTAGACTATAGACTATACATAGACAGACTATAGACTAGACTGATAGACTATATAGACTAGACTATAGACTAGACTATAGACTAGACTATAGACTAGACTATAGACTAGACTATAGACTAGACTATAGACTAGACTATAGACTAGACTATAGACTAGACTATAGACTAGACTATAGACTAGACTATAGACTAGACTATAGACTAGACTATAGACTAGACTATAGACTAGACTATAGACTAGACTATAGACTAGACTATAGACTAGACTATAGACTAGACTATAGACTAGACTATAGACTAGACTATAGACTAGACTATAGACTAGACTATAGACTAGACTATAGACTAGACTATAGACTAGACTATAGACTAGACTATAGACTAGACTATAGACTAGACTATAGACTAGACTATAGACTAGACTATAGACTAGACTATAGACTAGACTATAGACTAGACTATAGACTAGACTATAGACTAGACTATAGACTAGACTATAGACTAGACTATAGACTAGACTATAGACTAGACTATAGACTAGACTATAGACTAGACTATAGACTAGACTATAGACTAGACTATAGACCTAGACTAGAGACTAGACTATAGACGAGACTATAGACTAGACTATAGACTAGACTATAGACTAACTATAGACTAGACTATATTCTATTAACGTAGCAACTATAGTGTATATGTATATATATATTGTATACATATGAGTCGTGTCGCAAAAATTACTGAAATAATACAACATACTGAAATGTCCATCCCTGTTTCCGCTAGGGTACATCACTCCCCCTTAATGTTTTATTACGACATAGAACTGGCAAATTATCGATATTAATTTAAAAGCAAAATTTTAATATTTAATTGCTTATACAATTTTCAAAATTAATGACACTGAGCGATAATATTAAAACAAGCGAGTAAAATAGACAAATTTAGTCGTGTATGCCGAATCCGTATTGCAGGTGCTTTATGTTATGATATTCGAAATTACTCTATATACATAAGAGGTAGATTTCATAATAGATCGATTTTCTCAGGATTAGTTACAGTAAGTATAAAATTTATCACAATACTACTTAATAAGTATTAATATGAGAGTTATGAGCTTTAATGGACCATTGTATATTTTTTAGATTCTGGGCAAATCGTTAAACTTAATGATAGGCGTATGATCACTCACTCGGACAGAATATTGTAAAAATGTTGACGAAATTTCTCCGCATATTTTGCCTATTATCGATAATTAAAACTCACATGAGGTAAGTGTAAAAATATTTATAGAACAAAAAACAAATAAATATACTTTTATATATAAGGTTTCCTCCAGACGTTACAATTTCGTATAACAATGTCACCTGTCGACCACTTGCTAAAAGTCTTAAACATTTTGAATGTGACTTGGAAAAATTAGCGACAAATCATTATGCATATAGCGGTAAATTTATATTTAATAAAATAATGCATAATAATTTTTTCGTACGATATTTCATTGATATCTCACCAATTGGTAAGAAAAATTTAAT